ATAATAATGATAATAATAATAATAATATGTATAATTCTTCACCAAAAATCCCGATTGCCAAGTGACTTAAATTAAACGATTAAAAAAAAAGTATGAATTCCACTTACCAAATATGGTAATAAAATTAAATACCATTTGTGTGACATATTATTTCGAGGATTGTTACAATATGTTAGATTTAAGCATTGGTATACAACCATTTTATTACACTTATACAATACCCTATACTCTGAAACAATAGGCTTTTTATTTACTGCACCTTCTATATATGAAACTTTATTTCTCTTTTTAATGTACAAATCACCAATGTGTTAGATGTAGTTTTTGTATATGTCTCTGTTCAGCCTGGACATGGAATCATCATCATCGTTGTTGAAAGGATCTTTTACATGGCTGGTGAAAGTCCAAACTGGTGGTGATATGGGTAAGTTAAATTTTGATGGATTTTCATTTAAAGTATTTGTTGTAAATTGAATTGGTACAACCTTTAATAATTTTTTTTAGTATGGTTGGCTCGGTCTAAAGACCTCCTATTGCTGCGCCATGCGACCAAATTTCAAAATGGCAATTTTGTAATTCGTTCAAAAATGTAATAAATTTTTGGACTTCACGTGATTTTAGTTTACTTACTGCCAAATTTAGATACGATAGTCAAGATCTAGTCTAAATTTGGTAATATTTTCCTAATTTAGAAAAGATCATAGTAAAGTACATGTTTTAAAATAATTTTTTTGAAAGAATCTCTCTATTACATTAAAACTAAAGACATATTCTATCAACTAATAGAGCTATTTTTTTTAAAAGGTAGGACAGAAAGTGACTTCTATACTTTTAAAATTTGCCTAAAATTTAGGAGGTCTTTAGTCCAAGCCAACCATAATGAATAAAATAAATGTGTTATTGCTATTGATAAATTATTTTTAATATACACTGTATATATATTATTTTATTACGTAATTAATGTATACTTCATCATCATATGCATATCTCCCAACCATCATTCCAAAGGAGTGTTTTTTAATATCATCATCTATGAGATTAGTATTTTCGTTACAATATTCTTTAAATCGAAAGTTAAAAAATTCTTCATTATTGATTGATTCTAGTTGTTGTCTCTTCAATAAATAAGGTTTTTTTAACATAATTTACTTCTCCGATAAAACATAACACAGCAATGATTGATGTCATTTTTTTAAAATTAAATAAAATTAAAAAAACGATTATGAGTATGTAGATGAACATTTTTCCATTTTATGAATAGTATGTGTGTATGTGTATTTTAAAAAGCTTTTTACCGCAAATGAAATTTTTCCATTTAACTAACTTTTTTTTTTAAACTTATAAAAGAATATAATAATTTCACGTTACTAATGTTTACTATTTACAAATTTACAAATAATAGAATATTATTTATTCTACTACTGCTTACCACTAGTTTTTTTCGTCATTATTTCTACCATTAAAGCAGTTAAATTTTTTTTTAATGAATGGCTGTTCTCTCGAAATGAGAAAAATCATGAAGGAAAAAAACACAATATTGTGAATTATTCTCTAAATGGAAAATTGGAGTTATTTAAAAAAAATAGGCCACACCGATTTTGTTTGTTTGTTTTCTTATGCTAATAAAATTTCGGCTATTACTACTGTAAAGATGATTGATTGGCTCTGTAATTATTTTGCATTTTAATTTGTGCATCAAAGATCAAGTATTTATTGTAATGTTCAAAAAACAGTTAAGGCTCGTTATAGTAGATTCTTGGTTTCACATCTAGTTTTTATTTTTTTTTTTTTCGCTGTAACGAGAGACAGTTAATTACAAAGTGTTATATAAAAAACAAAAAAAGTCCACTATAATAAGATTTTACTGTAATAAATAATTTTGAAATTTAATTTCTATGAGCTAATTTAACCTTTAATTCACCACATTGATTATTACCATTAGCACTAATAGATTGTCTATATACAAGTTTATCATTTACCAATTCAAATTCATATTTTTTATAGAATAAAGCAACCAGTAATTTGAGTTGATTCATTGCTAAATGTCTTCCTGGACACATACGCAATCCACCACCAAAAGGTAAAAATGTATTTTTGATAAAGGAATCTTCACTATTGTTGTCATTATTTTTGTTTTTTAAGAATCTCGAAGGATTGAATTTAGTTGGTTCATTCCAATAATTTGGATTCATGTGTAAACTTTTGACATTTATAACCGTTAGTGTTGAACCTGGAATTTTGTAATCACTTATTTGATCAAAACTTGTTGCTTCACGACCAATTGATGTTACGATAGGTCTAATACGTAAAGCTAACAATATAAATATATTAATTATGTGAACATAATAATAATAATCATGATTTATAAATTAACAATAATATCAACCTTCTTTTATTACAGCTTCAATGTATTCCAATTTTTTTAAATCTTCATAATCTAAATTAGATTTATCTCCAAATACCTGTTCAATTTCCTTAAGAATATTTTGTTCAACCTCGGGATGACTAGATACATAATATATAACAAATGAAAAAGCATCAGATGACTTTTTCATGAAAGAGAAAAATTTGGTTATTAAATTAATTAATTAATATATCACTAAATACGTGAATAAGTAAACAAAACATAAATAAGTAAATAAATATACACACAGTCTGAATTCCCGCAAGGAATGTTTCAGAAATAACATTGATAATTTCTTCATCAGTCATTGGTTTATCATTTAAATCATTTGCAATGCCTTGAGTAATATCTTTTGGAGTATTAATAGTTAATAACATATTCAACATATCAGGTGTCAGGTTTTCTTTATCACTAATATTTTCAATTTTCTCTCTAGATTCTTTGATTAAATTGATAATATACTTTCTTGTTGATAAAAATTTGTTTAATAGATAATTTGAATAAATCTTTATCAATGGCAAATTACGTATAAACAAAGGAAATGTTGCATAATATCTAATACAATCTTGTGCAAAATCCAAATTATGTAAATATTCCTCCTCAGCAGTTTTAACTATATTGAAATCTTTTTCTTTTTTGCTGATTTTGTAATAATTCAATAACATATTAGTTTGCCTGTTTGTTGCTAATAACATTATATTTTCGGTGAAGATCCTTTTGATCCAAGGCACAAGGTCAATTTCCAATACTTTTTTTTGATGAATTCCCTTACTTGTAATAGATTCTCCCATTTCATTAATTAAAGAATCCCAATAAGTTTCTAAATCTTTAAAAACACGATTTACAAGATCAGCTGAAAACTTTAATGCATTTGGAGCCATTATAGCTCTAATAAGTATTTTTCTATTATGAGCCCATTTGTTAATGTCTCTATTTAAAATAATTCCTTGGTTGCTTTTTCCTAATTCGTCTAGTCCTTTATTAGGTGTCAAACGCATTATGTAATTACTATTTCTCAATGGACTCAAAACACGTTCAGTGATTTGTAAATTGTGAACGACTAATTGTCTATCAAGCCCAATGTAAATTTCAAATACATCACCATATTTCAAATGTAATGAATGAAACCATGATGAAATATCATGACGATGATAAAAAAATTGATGCAAGTTTCCTAATAATGGTAAAGGAAAAGGACCCTTATAAGGATTTGAACGTGTAAAATATATAAAATAATATTTTAATGACGAAAAAATTATTGATATAATTAATATTGTTGCGAGCGCTGAAATGATTTCTTTTAATGAAAACATTTTTTTTTTTTTTTTAAGTTGAAATTTCTGTAAAAATTATCCTAAAATAGAAATAAAAATATTCGCTTTTGTAATACGGTGCAGATCATCTATAATCATTAATTGCTTATAGTAACAATTGGTCAACTTCAAAATACTAAAACAAAAA